TTTTGTCAGTCTGTCCCAGGGCAGCTGTGGCTACAACCGTAGCTTGCCTCCACCAGTGTGTGTGAATAAATAGTGGCATTGTAAAGCGCTTTGGGTGCCTTGAAAAGCGCTATATATCCAATCCATTATTATTATTATTTCCTAAACACAACTCAGAACTGTTCACACTTGATGAAACTGATGTAAGCCAGTTCAGAGTGCACAGCAAGCGAGGGCGAGTAGACAACAGTCACCTCTGACAATTTTCTCATACGCCAGGTTCGCTTGTTGCCTGCTGTGTTTGGGTGGGCAGCTAAAAATATTAAGTGGGTCTTGGGTGAGATAGTGATCTCTGACAAAATTAAGCATAATAAAAAAAAAATGGTCTAGACTAAAATGAAGACCACTCATTTGTTACAGCTTCATGATGACTTCTGGAAGGATGAAGACAGCAAACACTGCAGGATTTAAAATCTGCAACTGTTTTTGTACTTTTGCTTTTTTCGACAGGTCAGTTAATCGAGTGCATCTGATTAATAACACCTGGCTGCTGCTCACCCTCATGGTTCCTATTGAAGCAGCAAGGGTGCACTTAGGTTTTCACAGGAATGTAAACCTCGTCTTAGCACACCGCTCAGAGCACCAGTCAGATTTTCATAAGAGAAAGAGTAATGTAATAATGTGCATGTAATAATAATAATAATGTGCATGTAATGTGCATGAAACTTGATGAGGTCCATTTTAAGCCTTGCTCTTCAGGAAGTTGACTTCTTTCCTGTCACGGCGAGTGGGATGAACTGTGGAGAAAAATCAAGGAAGATCCAATTGCAGGCACTCATGGAAGTGCGAAGGAGGTTTATTGTAAAAATAAAATACAAGTAGAAAACAGCAAACGGGACTGAAGATAATCTGAACTGAGAACAACTAAACATGAACAAGAACACGAATATGAGGGCAGGTGAGCAGAGGCAGATAACGGACAGCAGGGAGCACACACAGATGAAGCACAGTGGATACACAGACTGACCAGCGACTACAACATAAGAAGACACAACTTAAATACACACAGAAGAACACGGGGAGAATACAAACAGGTGGGGAACACAGCTGGAAGTAATAGGGCTAACGAGACAGGGGGAGAAGTAAAACTGAACACGCTGACATCACAGATGAACATGAACCTTCAAAGTAAAACAGGAAACAAGACACATTTTACTAAGACACAGACTAGAAAGGGAGAGACAGACTAGACACTGAGCTAAACCTGCAATAATAACAAAATACAACCAGAACATTAATCATAATACATATACCAGAATAACTGAAACATAGATTTATCATAATAATCAATAAAGCACCAGAGAAACAGAAAAGAATCCATCATTCAAAAATAAACCAAAACATAAGAAACTCAAAATGCTGGGTCAAAATGACCCAGAACCGTGACATTTCTCCTTGTTTATTCTGTGACTTTGTATCTTCTCTGTCGTTAAATTAAAAAGTGTGTGACCCTTTGCAGGACTGAAAGAGTGCAGAGCCTTGTTCCCTCACAACACCCCTCCCCTCACAAGTTTTAGTTTTAAGTAGCACTTCCTCTGATTTTTATCAAAGCTCAAAGAACCAGAGAACAGGTAAGAAAAACATCTTGAAGCAGTCAGCATTCTTTCTGAATTTGTGATGCTGTTTGGTGTAATTTTTCTCAGCTGCAGACATGTAGAACTTCTGTTAATGAAACTCAAAACATAAAGATGCTGTGAGCTTACATGTGCAACAACAGCATTTTATTCCCTCAGCGAAACAGGAACAAAGTAGACATTAAAAGAAACAATCTTTACTGTGACCACAGGAAGGTTATAAGCATTTAGGATATAACTAATGTATTTTAATGACTTCAATTTTATGCAAATCCCTAAATTTTGTATTAGGATATTTAAAAGCCGAAGTATGTAATGAAAGACATGCAAACAAAAAAGCTTTAAAATTCAAACAGCTTCTTGACCAAAGAGCAATAACACTGAAATTACCTTTACATGCCAGCATCTTAGTTATTCCATGAGCTAGTGAAAGTTTGTGTTTTTTGTGGTTAATTAAGTAATTTAAATTAGGAAGTCAGAAAATAATAACATGTCAAATTTAAGGCTCGATACAAATACAAAGCTACTCCTGTTCTTGCTGATGTTTGGGCCGATGCTAATATTAACTCAAAGTTAGCTAAACTCTCAAACTGTGAACAATGTGCTGTATAACAAAGGAACTGGACCAAAGGCCACCTTCACCTTTCAAACACGATCACACGGAGCTTTGTCTGCCTTGCAAGCACACCTGCAGGTGTGCTATTGGCTGTATACCGTCAATTTAAAATCAACAGTGAACCTCAAATCTGTGTCTTTGGACTCTGAGTGGAAAGCTGAGCAGGCATAGTGAGATCATTAAGACTAAAAAGGCCAAGTTCTGCATCACATAGTGTTTTGGAGTTACTACATAGACAAAGGATGTTTGATTATGGATTTGAAATATGAGTAGAAGTCCTCTTTGTCTGCTTTTCCACTCATCTTTAGTCCATCTCTTGTACCTGACCATTTTCAAAGGAATGCTTTTTGTTTGTAAGCCACTTCACACTGACCTATGAATCATTTAAGCATAAAAAATACACCTAACCCGAAGGATGAACCAGTGTTATGTCTACACAGCCTAATAAAACATGTCAGATCCAAACCCAAGTATGCAGAGATACCTCTGGCCTTTCAGTTGATCCATCTACGGTTCACTGAAGCCTCATCAGAAATGGTCTGAGTGGAAGTTGGCTGTTAAGAAGCTGTTCTTAAGGAAACAAAACAGACAGAAAAGGCTGAGGTCTTTCAAGTTACACAAGAATTGCACTGAAAATCAGTGGAAACAGGTGTGATGGAGAAATTACTCCAAAATAGTGGATCTTATGTTGAGGTCTGGACTCTGAACAGTATTTGGTGATATCCATAGGTTCTAGACTTTAGATAGTCAATGGCCGTCTAAAGCTTGCAAAGATCCTTGTAGAGGGTTGCTTGCACCAGGAAACACCGTGCCGTGCACGTTACAGAAACAGCGCTGTAGACAGTAATGTTTTACACCAGTCTATTGACTTTTTCAGATTCTAGCTTTGGCATTTCTATCTTCCAGCCATGGCTGCTGTCTACCAGCAACCCATCCAGGTAGTGACGGTCGCCACCACTAATAAAAACTCCGGGCGATGGAGCACCAACCTCTGTAATTGCTGCTCTGATATGCACACCTGTAAGTGAAGCCAGCAAATTTTACAAACAGCAGTGATTTCTGCATCAACTCTGTGCTATTTTGAAAACACAAGATGCAGGTCATGAAAGGAGACGTTAATGAAAACTGTTACAAACTCAAGGATATCTTACATCTCTGTGAGTTTTTCTTCCCTCAAGGTTGCTATGGCCTTTGGTGTTTACCCTGCATGCAGTGTGAGACAGTCAGTAGACATGGATGGTGCTGCGTCTTGCCTCTCCTGGACGGTTGCTGTGTGGTGTCCTACTTATTCCGCAAGTCCATCAGGGAGCGCTACAACATCCCTGTAAGGCTGGATGACCAGTACAATTGAAAGTGAAACCTATTTTTATTGGAAATAAGAATTAAAGTTAAACTTAACAAGCCCAAAGTGAGATAATATCGCAGCCCTGGTTTTGATGTTGTATACAACAACATTTTAAACTGTTGCAACCACGACAGCTTCAGAGAGACTACATTAACTCCTGCTGCGTGATCCTCTCTCCTTCTTCTCTTCTCATTTGCAGGGTTCATCCTGTGCCGACTGCTGTCAAATATTTTGGTGTTACGAGTGTGCTTGGTGCCAGATGCATCGTGAGCTGAAAATCAGGGCCAGGCAGGCACCTGCCATCTTGACGGTGGTCACCACGCAGGTCATCCATGGATAGAATATCAACCTCGTGTGTCAAGTGCATGTCACTTTTTCTTAATTAAACTTATTTGTCATAATATTGCAATTAAACAACATTTAAGAAACATTTAGTTGTTTTTACAGCTTGAAATGAAAGCAAAGAAATGTAGCCCCTTTGTATCTGCTTTTTCATAGCATTGCAGAGCTCATTGCGAGTGCTAGCATGGTGTAGGTGATACGTGACAGCCACATTAGTTGCTTTACTTTTAGAACATTTTTATTACGAAGATGTTTGAACTTTTCATAAATGCTTTGTTAGTGCATTAAAATTGAGGATATATCATGACATAGCGTATAATATCATCACTTTCTTCCAGTCGTTCCCCAACTGGGTTTAAGCTATGCTAAAATAAAGCATTTATAGTCACCTGTCTAATGCATTCTTTCACCTTTTTTATACAAATGTATGAAAACATGTCTTCAAACCTTTCACCCTTTTCTCAAACCCTAAATACAAAAGCCAAAATGACCTGCATCAAAACTGTTTGTCTGTGGCCAAAACCACGCAGTAGTTTTAGATTATGGTCGCCTTAGCAACGTTTAGCTCGTTTATAATTAAACAGACTCTGTCTGGGCTGCAATAATTTTACAGTCACCCACGTATTGCCTTCCTTCTCTTTCTTATGGTTCTTGGTGTGTTCTTGGTCAGCATATTGTCTGCTGTTACTGTAGTTTCTTGATGTATGTGTGGATGTTTGTATCCAGCATCTGTTTCTGGATCGCCTGTTTAAATATGCCGCATCAGATATGTTTGTCTCAACCCTTTTCATTTAGAAGTATAACAACATAAAAACATATATACTAGTGGCATTAAAAGATAAACAAATGACTGAAGACCTTCTTTGGGCAGCTCAACAGTGCCCTCTACAGTAAAGTTGATGTTAGCACAGCCTCACCTTCTTTCTTTCGCCATTATTTTGTTTCTAACCTTCAGTAGCTTGGGGTAAAATGAATGGTTAATATCAGATCTCCCCATGAGGTGACAGATAGATAAATATTTCCTGCAGTATTTTATGGGTTAAAGTGTTTATAGTCATATCAACAGGCTGACAATCTTTGTACGAGCTGTTTCATTAAACCAGTTTTTATTTGTGTTTCTCCATCAAATCAAAGGCTTTGTAGAACTAGCCAGCTGCAATTCTTCATTTTTAATAGATTTATGTTGAGCATTTCTCAACAGCTTTCTGAGTATGGAGGCCTACAAGTGTCAAAATGAACAAACCACATCAATCAAATTAATTAATTAAAATGGGAACTAAATAAATTAATAACGTATCAGATGTTTTCAATGAAATGAACTGATATTTAATTAATTACTTAATAGTGTGTTTATTTTATTCATTTTAGTATTCGTGCCTTGGTTAACACATTCATTCTTAAGTTTTTCAGTTTCATGTAGTCCAAGCTGAAGTTTCAGCAGAAACCGATCCTTCATTTAATTGAAGAGATTTTATATGAACACAGGTTAAACTCAAGAAAAATTACACCAAGAGCAATCAAGTTTTATTAAGCACAGAGATTTTATTAGTCAGATTAAAACCTTCCCTGAGATAACAACCACCACCTGATATGTCAATGAAACCTTTAAAAAAAATATAATTTTAAAGCTCAAGTGTTTAAAACTGTATGAAAGAAAACTAACATGGAACAGGGAACCACACTTGATGGTCGGAGCTAATGACTACACTGTAGTAATGAGCTGTGCAGGGCTCTGAAAATGAAAGCAGATAGGACGCTATGCTACTTGATTCTCTTTGGCAAACTGAACAAATCCCTTCTTACGTGCAAAAAACGAAACAAACCCCAAAACCACAACAGGTCCTGAACATCAAAAGTGGTTGTATCTTATCCACGGACCACCTGAGTGGTAACCACTGATGAGTTAGCAGGCTGCTGGTTTTCCCTGATGTTCAGCTCACGATACATCTGGCACCAGGCGCATGGGTGACAGAAAATCACATTGCTGGCATCATCAACGAACGAGCCCTGCAGGACGGAGAAAAAGGAAGAAGAGAGTGAGGGAGAGGATGAAGCAATGAAGCAGAAGGAGTTACTGTGATTTAATTTAATGAAGCTGTCATGCAGGCATGTGCGGTATGGAGTCCTGCCTGGGCCCCTCAACAATAATATTTAAGTATTAATCACAATTTTGCTAAATAAAAGGATCTGGCTTGCATCAGTCACATCACTACCATTTAACCAATGATTGCCCTTGAAGGTAGACGCGCTGGTTATGAGCCGGGAATCAACTCACAAAGAAAACGTGCATTGTTTTTGCCTCCTGAGCGGTGTGGAGTTGTAGGAGAAACACAACTTAATTGGGAGATGCAGACGCAGATTGATGCAAAGGAAACCAGGTGTACAGCTCACACTATAGTCTATAGCACACAGCAGTATTAGCTTATTATGTAGTGGTCAGTTGTTCTTCTGTGGCAACTGATGAATTGAAATAAATGAGCATTTCTACAGGGCTTGTATTTCAATAAAAACTAACTAATATACATATCCACATAATTATGGATTATTATAATTACAATATTATGAAACCCCCCCCACTGTATTTTCAAAAATACATTAAGAAACAGATTCTATTAGATTTATATTTCAAATATGACAAAATGCTGAATTTACAGCAGCAAAATTATTGTATCTCTATAGTTTAAACATTTAATAAGCTTTCTGCCTGCACAGAGTGGACAGTTAAACAATCACTGAATCATCATAAATACATTATTTTATTCTTATTACTTTAATATCAGAGCACTAGGAATAAATAATAGGAGAAGGATTCTGGAAGAAAATTTGTGGCCATATTGGACTGGAGAAGGTATAAAATGTCACTGTATGTGTGTGTGTCTACGTGTGCATGTTTTATGTGTATAGATTTTTTAAAATTATTATTCATGTTATAACATTGTCCAGACATGCCCTGTAAGGATATGAGGAGAAAACAGTGTCAAAAGGAGCTGTGTGAGGCTGCTAAAGGCAGTGGATCCTTCACCAGCTGGATTAAAAAGAGTAGGTAACAATAACACATGTACCAGTTGTTTCATTACTGGTACAAACACAGCTGCAATGATTTGGTTCAATAACATTTTTCTATTATTACTTTATTACAGATTAGGTGCAAAAGTTATTCAGTTTGGATAATTAAATAATAGTTTAAAGCAATAGCAAATTGTGCCTTGTTCTCAGATGGACAGCGAGTGGAGCTCGATAGCTCAGATGAGGAGATGGAAGGAGGGAGAGAGGCAAAGAGTGATTCACAGACAAAGCCTAGTTTATTTTCATCTGTTGTCTTATGATTCCATTGCTGTCACCAATCTTTGCATTTTATTTTTATCTGATAACACTTGTTATCAGCAGCAGAAGCAGCAGCCACCCCTCAACAGCAACAGTGTACACCATCAAGTAAAAGGTAGGCCATGTTTGCTTTGCATTGTCCCCACCTGGATAACCAAATATCTGAGAGTTTTTCAAAACAAGCAGCCACAGGTGCAGATTTCTTCCGTATGCAGACAAATAAGAGAGTTTAAATTTGGATAACTTTCCATTTCCTCTTTTTCTAATTTGGATGCAAGCTAGTCCCTAAAAAATGTCATCCCACTCAGTTTACTGATGCCACTGAATGATAAGGCGACTTAACCTAACTTATCTTCAGCTCGGCCTTCTGTTTGTCTGTCAGTAGTTTTGCAACCCATCCACCACAGCAGGTCTAACCATCATCTTGTAAATCTTCATTTTCACTCTTGCAGAAATCCTTCTGTCAACACTCATCTCCACCCACCCCACCCTGGCTGCACTCTTGTTTTCACCTGTGTCTGTTGCTTTGGATGGTTGAGTACTTAAAGAGGACATGAAAGAATACAAATATAAAGTATAATACCTTACTACCCTACATTCATCATCCTTCATCGTCTCTTGATTCAGTAACTTGAATATGCAAATGTGCACATTTTACTAATTAAACCCTACAGAAATCCTTATAAATTAAGGCAGCGGTCTCCAACCTTTGTTGCGCAATGGACCAGTTTATGTCCGACAATATTTTTACGGACCGGCCTTTAAGGTGTCACAGATAAATACAACAAAATAAAACCAGCACCGGTACCAAAAAAGAACATTTATTTATAACACACGGGAAAAGACTCAGGGAAACAGAGTTAACGAAAAAAATGATAAAAACCATGAAAACCATAAATTTCACACCTGAGCATCAACTCTCACGGCTCGGTACCAAACGACTCACGGACCGGTACTGGTCCATGGTCCGAGGGTTGGGAACGGCTGCATTAAGGGATGCAGTTTTGCTAATGTGAAGTTTTAACATCGAGCCGTTTCTCTACCCCAAAAACAGGCATTTCTGGATCCACAAAGCAAAACAAACAATAGTGAAATCTTTAAAATGGTTCACAAACTAAGGCTAGACGTCCCAGTGGGGTCATCAATCTGTTACACACTGTTTAACATACGCCCCTCCATCCCTAACCCAGACTTACAACAATGTTGTAGCGCTTTCTGATGGACTGACGGAGTAAGCAGGACACCACACAGCAAATGTCCAGGAGTGGCATTGCGCAACACCATCCATTTTTACTGGCTGTCTGACACTGCATGCAGGGGAAACACCAAAGGCTGTAGCAACCTAGAAAAATACACAGAGACATTTGTGTTTCATTACTAGTTATTACATTGCACTCTGCTACCTTATTGCAAAAACAGTCAGAGAAACTGATGTTTGTAGGATTTGAATGATTAACTTACAGGAGCTCATTTCAGAGAAACAGTCAAAGATGCCGGTGCTCCAATTCATTGCACTCATCCCTGGAAGAAACAAGGCAGAAACATAGACACAGAGTGAAGGGTTAATGCGGTCATAAAGATTATCACTGCTAGAATATGAGAAAGGTAACAGACTGGTTAAAATTATTGCTCTCAACATGCTGCTTGTGTTACAGCTGGAACTGGTCCACGTAAATCACTACAAAAACCTGGAAGCAGATGTAGAAATGATCTGCGTGCAGTACAGACAAAAAAGTTTGCCAACAAGTGGCAAGGAATTTACACACAGATGTACGTACACACATGTACATGGCAAACATTATTGTTCATATATATCTTTTAATGTAATTGTCTGGTAATAGTCTGTGTGCTTTAATGGATGTTGTGTGGCTGTGTCTTCAAACCCTTTTTGAATAACTTAAAAAAAAACAAGCAAATGAAATGATTAAAAACAAAGTTTTGCAATAACCTGAAAAATATGTTGTTGTACTATAACTGCAGGTGCAGTATCTGCTGTTCAGCTGCACTCTTATATCTAACAGGCAGGTTAATGCACGTTGCTAGACCGAACCATGTGCTGCAGCCCTGCTTTCAGTGACATCGTGGAGATACGTGTTCAGTAATAAGAAAATATTCCACAGCCTGCTCACACCTTTACTTGTCATTCCTGTGACGTGTCCATGGTGCAGCTGTATAGTTGAAGTTTTCAGTACTACTTTCAGTACTTCAGCGTCTGGCTAGACAGCTACACAATAGGATGCAGCATGAACCTTCTTAAACTGGCAACTCACTCTACTTTAATATCACCCAACTCCCAAAAGGTCTCTGTGTAGTGTGTCACAAAATGTGTCTGTGAGCTAAATGAACAGCTGCTGTATAAATAAAACCCACTAATGTGCCACACAGAAAAATAAAGGTGTAACAAAGAGAGGACAGGAGAAGAAGATAAATCATTATTCTCAAAGAGAAACTTTATAGACTGAAGAGGTCAGTTTTACATCTTCATTTTAGGGTTTCTTTATCAGATATTGGATTGGAGTGACTTCAGAAGCTATTTGAACTTGTTTGCATATCTTTCAGTACAACCTGTCATCAGTCTCACTCTTTTAAATATCTTGCGATAAAATTGAAGGATGGTTTTAACAACATTTGTTACTTAATGTTCATCCTCTCTTTTACTGACCCATGAGTAATTATGATAAGTAGACTCCAGAATTTTCTTTCTAATTCTGTGAAGAGATGAAAACCTTTAAAAATCCCCCTTGTTTTACTCAGCATCACTTGAGTACACTGGTTCATCAGCTCACTTGAAAATGACTGAGAAAAACGATACAACAGTGCAGTAAGCTTCAGAAACATTGTTGAATGTTTCAAGCTGTTCATTTTTATAGAAAGTCTTTCTTACCTGGTCTCTGGTTTGGTGAACTTTGAAGAAAAATGAGATGAAGGGTAGAAAACCCAACATTTAACTAATACACACACACATAGACACACCCCACCTGTTCACACAGGGAAACACAGAATTCACGATACACAGTCATTCAACTAGTGTAAATGTAAAACAACTAGTTTGCATGTGGTAACACAGAAACATTGTAGCAAAAGTATTTGAAATATGGATGAAAAAGATGAATTTGTTCCCGGGTAAATGTCCCCAGGCAAAAAACACCACAGTGACTAGATACTTGGTCAGACCGTCTCTTAGGAAGGAAGGAAGGAAGGAAGGAAAAACCCAGTGACTGTTGTTTTAAAAAACAAACAAAATATTTGACTGACACTATTTTGGTCATTAAATGGTCGTGAACAGCCACTGAACCATCTATCAGCACATTAGCATTTTCACATTCATTAACATGTTCGCTCTCACTTGTTCAATTAGGTCATGTGATGTTACCGATTAAACCTTTAGCTCAGGGGTGTTAATGTCACTTTAGTTCAAATACTCACTTAAAGCTATTAGGTGAGTCATCAAATGACAAGCTAACAAAATCTGGTAAAAAAAATAAAATAAACCATCCTTAAGATGAACAGGTGGAGATGTTGAGAAACATAAATGCTTAATTTTATTAATTTTATTAAAAGGGATAGAGTGTCAGGGTTCAGTGGCCCGTGACACCCAGGTCATGACATAGAGTGTGCAACAAAGACTGTAAAAATAGTCATTTTACAAGGAGGAGGATTATTAGTTTTTATTATTTCTTTTGCAAAAACATATGGAAATTTGGGGAAAATAGAGCACCTTCATTTTCACATTGGTAGAACTAGTGACTCGATCTATGTAATGAATTATTCTTATCAAATCTTATTGAAGAAAATTGACATTTAATACGACCAGAGAGTTGGATTATATGAGATAGCTTCTGAAAGGAGAAAACAAAAACTCGTCAGTAGCATCATCAGATGGCGCTTAACTTTTAGTCTGGTTGAGCTCAAGTGGGAACGGCTTGCTGCTTGGTTGCTCTGTGGGATGGTTTATATGATAAAATATGTCAGGTTTGTTTTGTTGGATTGACATTTATGCTTAGAAATATATATTTATATATTCTTAGAAGTATATAGTTGATTGCATATTGGAAGAATGTCTCATCCTAGGAGGTCTGTAACAACTCTGTGTAGCATGAAGAGGGGAGTGCGTTCACTCCTCTTCAGAGTGTTCTGGCATGGATCACACACCTCCTAGGAGAGGTCGTATCTTCTCTTGCTGATATATGGTATAGCAAACACACGTATATCTAGCCCTTTGTTTAGATGGACCACTAGACTCCTGGCAACAGCTTTGGGGAGTCTTCACAGGGTCACATCTTGACCCCACACATACACATAAACATACATGTGTTTGTTGGATAGTACCATATCCAGGTACTATCCATACCTGGATATGGATAGTATGGATAGTGTGTTGCACTTGCTAAGCTGGTGACTCCATAATGTGTAAACCCCACTAGTCAGCAAACAAAAGCTTTAAAAGAAATAGCATGGTGCAGTAGTACAGTAATTGCATCCAGAATACAGCCCAGTAAAAGTAGAAAGCAACATAACATGGACAAACTTAAATAGTACATTACAACAAAGTAAAGTGCTTGAGGAAATGTACTCAGATCCATGCTGCTCCTGTCTATGCGCTCATCTAATGGCGTTAGGGACCGTGAGACTAATAGTACTCATGCACAGTGCTGTGTGGTTAGCACCATTAACTCAAAGCAAGAAGGTCCTGGTTTCAATTACTCTGGCCCTTTGGGGCCTTTCTGAGTGCAGTTTACATCTTTCCTCATGACTGTGGAGGGGGTTCTCTGTGTACTGTATCACAGTCTATCACAGGGCTCTCTGTGTTAGCCTGTCCATGGGCTGTACCCTGCCTCTGGTGCTATAGCAGCTGAGATACACTCCAGTCATGGCTGCAAAATAGATAAGTGGAAGAAAATGAATGGACAGTCCAATGGCTTCAGTCAGGGGACAATAGGAGGATAATCATATTTCATGGCAGGAGCTAGTACCCTCACCCCCCCCATCTCCACGTCCTGCTTCTGGCCCCACCCCTAGAAGCTAGTGTGTCCACACCCCCCTCTCTCATTTCCAGTTTAATGCTGGGATTTCTCAACTTCATCTAATTTTTTTTCAACGCTCAGAGAATCAGAGAAACGGTAAGACTAACTTTTCATATTGATGAACAGCTTAGTATTTCTGTGTAGTGATTAACATGTAAAGCTTGTGGGGGGACAAGACATCCAGCTTCAATGTTTTTTTTTCCCAGCCTGGTTTAACCATAGTTTGCCATATAGTGTATCTATTCTGTCAAATCTAGTAATTTGTCTTGCTTGACACTAATTATTGATGTTTGGTTTTTGGGGATTCCTGTCCAAGCTGGGTCAGAAGCTAGTGTACACATGATGCTAGTTCCAAGTCAGGGTTGAGGGAAGGGTCATCTGATGTAAACTCTGTTCTTGTAGGAAATAAGGGAGCGACCAGAAATGCCTTTCTTATCTTAATCAAGGACACCAAACAGAATTCTGCCCCCGCCTTTATTTGTTAATGCGTATCTCTCACGCATGTTTTGATTGTTTGAATAAACCATCAATGTACGAAACAGTCCTTAGTGGTCATAAGCTTGGCCACTAATGAACTGTTCACATTTAATATGCAAATAAATGTGAAATGCACATAAATCTGGACAGTCTGAAATCTCCTCTCATTTCAACCCTCATTTCTGGTCACACTGTGATTTTTAGTTCACATATTCTTGCCCTTTACCTCACAGACAGGCCTCCACAAGAGTGGAGGACATACTGTAGGACTGATAGTAGCCTGTTAGCCTACCGACATCACTGCCTACTGACCAATGAATTCTCCAGAAAATGGTGTCACCTTTCCTGAAAAATCCCATGGACCTCTGTTGGGAGCTTGGGATGGTGTAAAGTTTCTCACTTGCGTCAGTTGGATAGCAAGTTGATAACCAGCTTTGTGCAACAAAGCTCACCTGATCCTAATCGCCTGTTTCAGGGTAAAGGAATGCAGATCAGAGGCGGAGCCAGACATTTGAAACACCCAGGGCTTAGCCCTAAAGGGTAGTATGCATGTGGGATATTTTTTTTTTTGGGGGGGGGGGGGGGGGTAGAAATGACTGAAGGATTAATAGGCTCTGTTTTGAGTTTTGTTCAAAAAAGAATGACTTCATATAGGGAAAAATATATATCACATATGCAGGACAACATAAACTAGTTTTTTAATTAAGCAGCAAGGCAGAACAAAGTCGGGGCTGTATCAAGACACGAGGACTAAACCCCAATTCAACCAGACCAGGAACTGATCCGGAATTAAAACAGGACTACAACAGTTCAAAATCAGGACTACTGAGGACTTAACCAAAACAGAACCACAATCAAAACTAGATGATAGTAGCACTAAAATCATCATAGACCTGCACTACACTTGTTTTTTAATTCTACCAAAGTCCACTATTTAGATTCTGAAAAGTTTATATAATTATTTAGCCTTGTTGTGCAAACAAACCTGCATAACTTAATAAATATAGAATTTGAAAAATAACAAACCTAAAAAGAAACACTAGGTACGAGACACACGAGTACCTATGATACGGTGAAACCAGATATTTACAAACTCTTCAGATAAAAACACTTTTTTAATTGTAACATCAAATCAGACTAAATGTTACTTATTTTTAGATTGATAAATATAAAAAACATATTTGTTTTTTTATAATTCAAGTATTTATTAGATTTTGCATTTTATAACAGCAAATACGGAGATGCAACAACCAAAAGCAAGAAGCAAACAAACAAAAACAAACAAACAAAAAAAATAACTAAAAAAAAAAAACCCACAACAAAACAAAACAAGTGAAGTTTTAACATATGTTGTATTAAGCTCAAATGTCCAAAAACATATTTGTTAACTTTAAGAGTAAAGAGAGAAACTATCTGTATTTCTTAATTGTAAATGGCACCAAATTGTATTCAAACTGAGCCACACTTATGGAGCTCCACGATTCTTTTCCTGGTGTTTTGGTTGACATCTCTTGGTTTTCACAGAAACAGGCTCTGTGTTTTGCCTTATATGCATCCACAGCTGTGCCACCAATTTACTCACATGGACTCTACTAACCAATCAGAAGCTTCTTCAGCTCAGAATGGAATCGTCTGGAGTTTCTTATTAATTAACAATAAAGTTAGTGTACATGTACTCCTCTCTCTCTCTCTTTATTCTGACATTTAACTAATTCAAAAGATATTTCAATGTTTATTTAACCAAAACAAAACAAGTTTACTCTAAATTGATGTTGTACAGTAAAACAATGTTCTTGTGTTTTCCATAAAGTGTATGTAAATATCTGGTTTAAACTGTGAATATACTGCTGTGTATTGAAATTCCTCTTGTTTTGCATAGAAATATACTGAACAACATACAAAGCATAATATATAAAATATTACCAGAGTTTTTTCTTTGAAAGAAGCCCCTTATGTCCATTCTTGTATATCAGTGCATTACTGAAACCGAGGAGGGTAACAACTGAAAATACGAAATAAGCACACATGTAAGCTAAGACTCTCTAAAGAAACATTATTGTTGTTGTTCGGCTTTTCATTTCGCCGTTTGCTGATTCACTGTTTGATATCAATCTTTCGTGATACACCGTCATATTTACATTATTTTTACAGTACGAGTGATTTGCTTTGGTACCTGGTCGAACTTCAGTTCTCCTCTGTCTGCCTGGCTGCGTTTCTCTAACAGCGCACTCGCAGGCAGCAGCTGCCCCGCCCCGCTTAGTGTCTGAGCTCGGATCATACCAATATTAGGGGGGATTTACGCACAGTCGTAAATTCCCACAGTGTGCACAATGTGCTTCGAATATTGTGTGTAGTTTTTGTTTTATACAGTTGTCAGCCAGGCATCTAACTATGAAAAAATTACACTCCAAAAGACCCCGGGCTTCTGACAAAACAACCCGGGCTTAAGCCCAGTAAGCCACCCCCCGGCTCCGCCACTGATGCAGATAACAGAAAGATACTCTGGAAATGCCGAACTGTACTTCATAGTACAGGGTCCGCTGGTTTCAGATGATGTCCACCATGATGGTACACAAAGTGCACAGGCATGATTTGAGGATGGTTGGTGGCATGGGGTCCAGAGGACAGAAGAGTGCACTGCACGCAAATTCTTTGCACATCTCACTCCAGCTATTTGTACTGATTTAAATTAATCAAGAAACATCCTGTTATATATGTAACAAACCAGCCTGTTACCTTTCTCAAATTCTACCCTTGGATTTCTCCATGCGTAGCAGCAATAACTTCTGTCACACTTCACGCTGTCTCCTCCAGGCATGGCTGGCCACCAGCAGACCAACCAGGTGGTGACAATCACCACCAATCAGAACCCTGGGCAGTGGAGCACCGACCTCTGTGAATGCTGTGTTGATATGAACAGCTGTAAGTGAACACTCAGCAGTCATTTCTGCATCAACCATCTCCTCAGATTGTCCAATCAGTTGCATTATGGAGCTTTTGATTATATTATGCTCTTCTCCAGAAATCTGAGATTCTCTAATTGGCACAGGAACTTAAATGCAGCACTCTGTTGGAGTGCTTAGCACTGTTGCATGTTCTCCTGCCTGGTTTCCTGTTGTTACTCTGGCTTCCTCCCAGAGATCCACTGGCAAGTTATTATTTGAACCAACGGCAGCTGAATGTTCAAGGGTAACGAATGACCCTTGCAATGAAATGACCAAACCAAACATCACCAGATCATAAGAAGAAGAACAGAGGCACACGCTCAGGAAACAAGAAGACAGAAGTGACAATGAGCAGAAGGGGAAGTGTTTAAAAACCCAGAAAACTACCTGAAACCTAGTGAAATGAGGATTACATACTGGCAAGATTATTCCCTATTCCCTTCATTCCCTTCTTTTTTTCCCCATTTTCTCTTTTTCTGTTCTGTTTCAAGGTTGCTGCGGCTTCTGGTGTTTCCCCTGCATGCAGTGTCAGACAGCCAGTAAACATGGATGGTGCTGTGCAATGCCACTCCTGGATGTTTGCGGCGTGGTTTCCTGCTTACTCCGTCAGTCCATCAGAGAGCGCCACAACATCCCTGTAAGGCTGGGTTAGAGATGAAGGGCAGCAGGCGTGTTGCTAGGATTTTGAAACATTTGAGGGCACATGTTTTATAGTGAAATTAATATAAAATGTCAAACATTGTGCAGTACCTAATGGCTGAATTCTCATAACTTTTTCTTTTATTGTGCCATATCACCTCTTCCTCACCTTTCATCGTCTTTTGGTGTCTCATCTGTCGGCTGCCCTCCATCCAGATCTCTCATTTTTGATGTGATTATTAGATCTTTAATACGTGTTATTTCTCAACTTACTCAACCGACTATTCAACAAACATCACACTGGATAAAAAGCAAATGATTAACTATAGACTGGCTTCACAGTCACATGACTTCCTGTTGATTTATGTTTTCTGTTTCTGGAACCAGGGTTAATGACTCACCCTGTGGCTGTGGCCACTGTGACATCACTATGATGTCACTCATTGGTTTGAGGAAAGCTTTAACTTTAGGTTCCTCACCATGTTGGCTATTTGGAGTCCGAAATGACAGTATGTTGATGATAGGGTAGAGTAGAGATAAAAGCTAACATTAACAAACTATAGTTGTGGGCAGTGTTGGTCAAGTTACTTGAAAAAAAAAAGTAATCCCATTACTTTACTGATTACTTATTTTCAAAAGTAATTAATTACTTAGTTACTTAGTTACTTTTTAAAAAACACGATTTACAACCTGAATACGTGATAAAGCGATAGAGCTTTCAGCCCAATCCTACTTTTTCTACATAATCCATCATACAAAATGTAATCAAATGGAAAAGTCTCTTTTTTTTTAAACTTGTTTTATCAGTTTTAATCTTTTAACTTTATGCATCAAGCAAAAATTAAATTATATGCAACATTCTCTGACTGGAAGAAATTAGTTTAACATTTAAACCTATTTTTTGCACATTCCAGCACATAAAATAAAATATACTCGGTCTTTCAAATAAATGCAAGTGAAACACAGCAGAAAATAAATAAAGTCAAAGACTAGCGGTCCTTTTGCTCTATTTTCACCTGTAAAGCAGGAGTGGCGTAGGCGTAGGTTCACCCTGGTGCAGGGAGTGCCGGAGCGGTCAGTGGAAGAATCCGCGAGTTTCTCTGTGAATTTCCCATTACGTCGTTGCGCACTCGGTGCTTGTTTAGGGTTTTTTTCGCTGTAAAAAGAAGTTTCCTTCCCACGCACAACGGACGCTAATGTTTTTGTCACTTTTTATGGAATCAAACTCAAAGTAAGGTCAGTACTTCCACGCTTTAAACGCTGCACGCTCATACTCTCTCCTGCACTCGATATATGATCCATTGTTAATCTGCGCACAGCTGTTGTCACGAACATCGCACTCGCTTACGTCACTGTCATGAGACATTCTCGCAAAAAAAATCACGGTTTTAGTAACGCAGTAACGCAGCGTTCCTACGGGAAAGTAACGGTAATCTAATTACCGTTTTTGCAATAGTAATCCCTTACTTTACTCGTTACTTGAAAAAAGTAATCAGATTACAGTAACGCGTTACAAGTAACGCGTTACTGCCCATCACTGGTTGTGGGTAACACATTCAGCTAACAAGCTCAATCCTGGAAGGAGACAAAAGTCCCATTAGGGTTGCATCAGGAAGGGCATCTGGCATAAACTAATTTTTATTCATAAACACAGAGAGAGAGAAGCATAGAGAAGTGCCTGCTGACCAAATTAGAGGAAGAGGAAATGGAAAGCTATTTTAATCTCTAACTCTCATAGATGTTTTGCCACTCAGTATTTTTTACTGTTCATGTTACTCTCACTGCTTTTATTAGCCCTGTTTGCCAGTATTTAACAGTTGACAGTAAGTGAATATAGAGGATCTTTGAGCAGGTAGAAAAAGACCAATGCAGAGCTCATTGAAATTACTGCAAATCAGACTCGATCTGTTATTTTCCTCTGTCTCACTGAAGGAAAGGAAACCTCTCTAAATCCTGCTTGTGTGTGGTCCTTCACTGACATCCTGACAGTTAACAGCAAGGAAACTGGCTACAGACAGATAAAGTTTTGAGGAAATAGAGAGGTTGTTTTGAGTTGCATAAAGATTTGAAAAAATCGCTCCTCCCTGTTTCTCTTTCTAGTCGTGTTATTTTAAGTTCAGTTCAGTACAAAGCAGCGTGAACAGGGACATTTAAACAGCTACAAATTCAATCCCGATAACTCTTCCTGCTTCCTCTCCTCCATCCTGTAGGGCTCGTTCATCGATGACTGCTGCAAGATATGTTGGTGTTACTCGTGCGTCTGGTGCCAGATGCATCGCGAGCTGAAGATCAGAGAAAGCCAGCAGCCCGCCACCTCGACTGTGATCACCACACAAGCCATGCTGTAAACAGTTTTGCTCTGGATCAAAGGCATGTGTCCCATTCAAAGCCACATGTTTCAATCCACTTCTGTTTTATCTGCATGTAACAGTCATCTCAAAGCATTTTGAGAGCTGTAAACTAACCTTTAATGTAAATTAACCTGTAGTGTGTTATTAGCCTAGCTCACTGTCATTCATTGTTTGCAGAGCTAATTTCATGTAACAAGTAATAAGAATGGTTATGCAGGGATCCAAATAACAGTGCTAGCTCACTGTATTTTTGTGAGAAGCTTATTTTGAAGTGACGAGTTTGACCTGATCTCACCAGACATCAACACATTTATCACTTTACATCTCATCCTGGGAATCTCCGAAACACACCCAGGGACCCGTATAACCTCACCTCGATGACCTGAAAACCACTACTGTGACCAAAACAAAGGGGAACCTTTTCCTGTGTTTAATAGTTTAATAGATGTGAGTTATATCCTTCATTTATAATGGTTCACATTTAAAAAACATACAGCCCAACACTGCCCTCTGCATCAGTACAGATGTTAGCACAGCCTCCACATTTATGCAACTCTTGTTATGTTCACTGTCCAGGCTGCAGTAAACCTGTTATTTTACTTTTAATTATGGAGACAGTGGAAACAATCTATAAATCCTTGTAGTATGTAAACCTTTATGGTTATGACCCTTTTTCTTATACTAAGATAGGATTTGGTGTATAAGAAAAAGAAACATCTTATTTAAACACCCAGCACCCAAATATTAGTATTCATTTAATGGCTCTCTTGTACTCTTTAAAATAAATAAAAAGTCTTTTGGCAAACGTGAGTCTGTCCCTTTACACTTTTACAAGAACAGATTTTTCACCCTCTGTAAACATGATGACACAAATGCAACTGAAAAATGCCAAATTAAAGGTTTATTCATTCACATGCTTAAACTTATGGAAACTGTGCTTAGTTATAGCTGAATGTATAGCAATCAAATAAATTTCATTTGACCAGATACCATTAAATTCAACTTTTTACACCAGCCAATAATTTTGAAGGAACTTCATTGGCAGTGAAATGAGGGAAGAGTTTATAAGCAACGTGAGACACCCACTTACACAAACTCCTTACTCCTCTCACCTCTGTGTTGGAAACCACTCATCAATTAACAATGCTAGTACACACCATGACCACCTTTCATAGCTAATCGTATTATGCTTTTCGATCTACTGAGCTGACAGGCCGTCGTACAGACATTACACAGACCCTTCATTAGTATTTTAAGCATAACAATAACTCCTAAACGCTCCTAAAAGGGCTCAAATGTCTTTTATATTCTGGTTCTGATGAATCCATTGTCTTCAGGGTCAAGACCAAAGAAGAAATATTTGGCACCCACTTAGATGATCTAAATCAAACTACATCCAGCTGTTGTATTCAGACCTGGTTTCATTGAGACATCCCTAAATTCTGCTCTACTGCAGTCATTCATTTACATTTAACGTGTTAGTAAAATAAATTTGAATGAGGGGATTTTACTTCAGCACTTGACACCACACAGCTTACTCAGCTTGGTTTGCAGTGTTTACCGACCAAACTAGCCATGGGCCCGAAGAGACCAATGACGACTGAGGGATTTGAGTAAATCAAAATGTTGCTGAACATTCTGGCTGAGCTGATTTAAAACATTTTAATTCTTTAATCTACAGCAAAGCTTCATGTTGAAAGGACATTTTGCTTGTGGTTTGTTTACATGGAACTTTGCAACTTTTATCTCTTGTGTTTCTTGCTGTTTCTCTGAGCATTGCACAGTCTGTCCTTGGGGTGAATTGTTTTGTTAACAGACATCTGAATGCTCCGCTACTGCTTTTATAGAGGTGCATGACCATAAACCCTCTGTTACAGTCCATAGCACTTTTGCCTGATCTTTTCTTTGTAGTGTGATGTTATGAAGTCAGAAATACAGACAGGCACCACTAGAGCACAAGTCAAAAAGTTCACAGCAAGGTGATTTTCATAAAGTAATAATAAATGATGCACTATAAACTGCATAAAACTCGACACGGTCAGTAACTCTCACGTTTAACTCTCGTTTTATTGGAACTGAACTTTTTTGGCCTTGAGTGTTTCATCTATTCTTATCTAACCTGGAATGAAAGCGTGTGTAACTGTTCGTCTTTCTCTGTCAGAGAGGTGGTTTCTTTGAAAATTGAAAGTCAGCAGAGCCTTCAACCCACACTTGACCACTCCCGTCACAATTTACAGTCATAGGTTGGACTTGCTCTCATTTTACTCAGAACTCAGAGAAGCAGAGAAAAGGTAAGGACAACTTTCTATACTGGCAAACATCTTAAAGCAGTTAGCAGTCTTTGCGACCTAATAGTACAGTTTGCTATCATTTTCCCAGTGTGGTGTTGTGAGCCAGTCAGAGGAATACTTGCAGCACACGGGTTTACACGCACTTCATACTGCCTCAAGAAAAATAGCACAAAAAACTGGACATCTAATTATTATAAGCACAGTTTCGCAGTTTATACTCATAAATTAATGAATCTTATAGGACTGTTAGACTAGTTGGCAATAGACTATAAGTAGATTAATGTTAGCTAGGAATTTTTTAGTACATTAATTAAGATATTATTTCTAAGATATCTGAAGTAAGTTTATAATATGCCCCATGACCAAGGGTGTAATCGGCCTGGTATCAGGTACATGGAATTTCCATGTATTGTCTTGTGTTCACACAAGTTCAACATTTCTTTATTCTATTTTTGGTGTGTTATGTTTCAGTATAGGGGTGAAGGTGGAGCTCAGGGAGGTGGTTGACTGATATCCTGATTGGGACAAGTGTGTTGGGTTTGACCTCAACCAGTTAATTTAAAAGAGTCACTTCACTGTGTGTGTATTACAGCAAATTGTAGTTTATGGATCTCTGTACAGTGTAGTGTGCATCTTACATTGCAGAACTGGTGTAGATAAATTTGTTATCCCCCAGGCACCTCCATTAATCTTTAAAGTCCCCATTTTAAGTTATTATGATACAACTACAGTGCAACTTTTGGTAAAACACGTGGAAATGGAAATTATTACCTCCACGGTAACTTATCTTATCTTATCTTGCGAAGGCTGTGTGCCATGAAGCAAGGGCAACTGAAATATCTTTCATGAACAGCTTCACTTCTCACAACATCTCCAGTCAGGCTATGTGAGCACACAAAGCTGGTTATCAACTTGATAAATTCATATGCAGTTTATCAGTCTTGTAGCAAAGGGTGCTAACGTGAACAAGATGGTATTGGAAACATGTGACAGTTGAGCTGTCCCAAACATGGACAGCTCAACAGGATCTATCAGTGGATTTTACAAACACAAGGAAACTATGACATTTGAAAAGCACAAAAAGGTTCAATATAAAATACAGGCAGAAAACTACACACCTGTCATATATAAAGCAACTTCCTGAGCATCTATTGCAACAAAGCTCTGCACAATAGCCCTAGAGAGTTGAATCTGCTCATCTAGACGTAGTATTTTCTGGACAGTAGCATTAAAATCACTGTGTGTGCAGTTGAAGACCTTTGATCAGTAAGATTGGAAAAGGCTTGTAAACATAATGCAGGTTAGGGAAAAATAATCTCATGAAAAGGAATCTTACTGGAGAGCAGAGAAAGAAGAAAACACAGCACGAGGGAGAACATAACAAAGAGCAAGGGAAGACTGAGATAATATATACAAACACAGGCTAACAAGGGAATGGGAAACAGAGTGACGACTGCTGTCCTTCCTCCTGCACTTCTCCACAGCTGGTGCTAGCAGTCTCAGCATCTGGACTGTGAGGACTTAATACTAGTTGTTGTTGCTGCAGTGCAGCTGCAGCAGCAGTCCCGACAGCTAAGATGTCGATTAATTTCTTTTTGCTCTTTTTGGTCCATCTATATCAACCACACTAAACTCTGTTCTGCAAGGTGCCCGAGTGCACAGGGAAGGTATGGGAGGGGTCGGATACATTACGAGATTTGACTCCAGTGTTGGTAGTGAAACACGGGCTGCTTTCAGTGCTTTTAGTGTGTGGCTGTGTGGCAGCCCTACAAGCCAGCCATAGCCTGTATAATTATATTGATCCATTGGCAGACAAGTGCCAAAGATCCTGTTAGGGGTTTACATGCACTAGAAAACACACTGCTGTGCATGTTACATGTTTATAACCACTATAGCCCGTTAACGTCGGTTTCATCTCTACATCTCATTTAAAAGCAACAGCTGACCAAAACTCTTAAGTTAGTGAATGAACAAGAGAAAACCATAGAAGAATAAATACAATGAAATAAGGCATAAGAAAAAGCAACAACAATGACAACAAAAACTCTCTTCAATCTGTGTCTAATTCTCTACTTCGTTTGCTCCAGGAATGGCCTTCCAGCATTCAACCACCCAGGTGGTAGTCACCACCACTGCAATGAGTCAGCAGTCTGGGCAATGGAGCACTGGCATCTGTGACTGCTGCTCTGATATGAACTCCTGTAAGTGAACCCAGCAAACAGCTACAAACAGCAGGGATTTCTGCATCAACCACCTCCTCAGACTTTGTTTGCAGTCGTTTTGCAGAGTATCTGAAGTCAGGATATAATGCAGAGGTTATGCAAGAGATTGTAGAATTTATTAAAAAGTGGGGTAAACTCATACAGATATGGCATCTCTGCACATTTTTCTTCAAGGTTGCTTCGGATATTGGTGTTTCCCCTGCATGCAGTGTGACACAGCCAGTAAACATGGATGGTGCTGCGCAATGCCACTCCTGGACTTTTGCTGTGTGGTGTCCTGCTTACTTCGCAATTCTGTCAGAGAGCGCTACAACATCCCTGTAAGTGTGCGAGTGGAGGATAAGGTTATTGTATTTAGCTTAAATTATGCTACCGTTGTATTGTATTAAGCTTAGTAGTAATTAGCAGTTAGCTTAGTAGTTAGCTTACATTAAGCTAACTAAACTGCCCCCTGAACAATGAACAATGCCCCCATCCCTAAACTTTAAGAGAGAAAAAAATGCAAACTTCAAGCAATACTATGCATGTACAAAGCTTAAAAAAATACAGAAGAAATGTCTTCAGTATTAGTCAACACTTGCTGATGAGGTTTGATGAATATTTTATTGATACTCAGGATGACTGTAGCTGCATTAACCTCAAAATCAATAAAAATAAAGTTAACATAAGTGGATGAAACATCAAACCACAAGTAATCACATAAATGAAAATAGGGAGTGCTGAGTGCAGCTTTTAATGGGCGCAAAGCACACATGGTTATATTTGTAAATTAGTGCAACTGAAGTAACACATGAACAAAATACTACACCTTCACTCACCCTAACTACTGCACAGACTTCTTGGGTGGGCTGTTAGAAAGTATAACAAGCCTCATCGTTTGTCATATTATTGTACTGTTTATTGAATTCTCCAGAAAGTACAAATGGTGCAAACATGGCAGAACGAGCGCGGCACACCCCTGACATTAACAAGTCATAAAATGAGACAGCAAACAAAAAACCCACTCCTATTGCAAAAGGGGAGATGAGCCAAAGGCACTAAACCTGCTGTAAAGTGGTTGGGTTTTTTTTTTACACGAAGGTCTGCAGTGACTGATTCACTTTTAGAGTCATTCTCGAGTGGTGATTTGAGGAATAGCATTTTTTTTTTTTTTTTTGCCAAAGACATACTGACATCCACCACTTTTTGGTGGATGTCTGCCAGGTTTAAACTACATTGTCTTAAAGATGGAGTGCAATGCAATATTGCTTCAGTGCAGCTCAACAATGAGAACAACAAATGAAAAAAATCACCTCATTAAAAAGCTGCCATTAAAACAACAACATCAAACATTTCGCACCTGATGTACTAAATCTTTAATCTACTAGGAAGACAGCAAATCATTAAAGGAGATGGTAACAGATGAATTCAATAGCAAGCCAAATTATATGATATCTGATGGCAAATAATTTTTATTTCTTCTTCTGCACATTGTACACAGCTGTTCTGCACGGTTTTGAAGTTTGTAATAATGCAGCTCTCCTCTGGATAATTCCTGCACTCCACCTAAGTCTCAGTCCTCAGGACCTCAAACAGTCCCAGCAATTTCTATCAGAGGAGCTATCCTTGATATCAAAAAACCCTTTGCTTACTTTGTATTATTTTGATTATGACAGTATTCACTCCTTCATCAGATCTTTAATTTAATTCACTTATAAGATGAATTAAATCCTATTTTATAAGATTTTTCTACTAAGTCTAATACGTTTCCTCCTCATAGTTTAGGATTTCTATTCGATGTAAAATGTCCTCCTTCCTTCACTTATTCCCTGATCTTACTCTTAGTATTTAAGTATGAACACAAAGCCGACAACACAAA